GGCACTGTATGTTCAATTCCCTTCTTTGGGATTTGCTGTTGTAAGCTCATATATCCTGTGTTCTTGTGTATGTAGGTGATTTCCTTGGGTTGGCATTTTCCTTCTAGTACTTTCTGTAGGGCTGGGTTTGTGGATAGGTATTATTTAAATTTGGTTTCTCCATTTATGGTTATTGAAAGCTTTGCCGCATAAAGTAGTCTGGGCTGGCATTTGTGGTCCTGTAGCGTCTGCATAACGTCTGACCAAGACCTTTTGGCTTTCATTGTTTCCGTTGAGAAGTCAGGTGTAATTCTGATAGGCCTGCCTTTATATGTTACCTGCCCTTTCTCCTTTAGCATTCTTTTTTTATTCTATATGTTTATTGTTTTGTTATTATGTGGTGAGGGGTCTTTTGTTTTGTCCAGTCTATTTTGTGTTCTGTAAGCTTTATTTTCTTAGGCATGTTCTTCTTTAGGTTGGGAAAGTTTTTTTCTATGATTTTGGTGAATACACTTTCTCTGCCTTTAAGTTGGACTTCTTCTGCTATCTCTATTTTTCTCAGGTTCAGTCTTTTAATGGTGTCCTGGACTTCCTGCATGTTTTGTGTTAAGGATTTGTTGGATTTAAAATTTTCTTTGACTGATGAAACTATTTCCTCTATCGTATTGTACTCTGTTGTCTGTGCTTACATTTGTGGTTCCTGATTATTTACCCGAATTTTCCATTTCTAGAATTCCCTCGGTTTGTTTTTTTATTGCCTTTTATCAGATTTTATGTCTTGAATTGTTTCCTTCACTTGTTTGATTGCTTTTCCTTTAAAGGATTTTTCAATATCTTCCAGTTCTTTGTCCTTTCCTCCATTTCTTTAAGAGAATTTTTCATTTCCTCTTTAAGGGCCATAATCATCCTCTTAAAGTTATTTTTTAGGTTGTTTTCTTCTGCTTCAACTGTGTTGGGATGTTCAGGTCTTATGGTGCCGTATTACTCTCTATATTGCTGAGTGTGTTCTTACCTTGTTGCTTGCACATCTTTTCTTCTAATTGGTATAGGTGGATCTTGTGCTTCAAGGGTTCTCTCTTTTTCCAACTGGTAATGTTGGGGGTTGTGGCTCCGTTGACCATTCCTTCAGGTACAAGTAGAGCAGAACTTCTTCTGATGAAAACTCCTCCTGCTAAAAGTGGGCTCAATGCTCAGGTGGTCACTCCCTGAGGTACAAGTGGGACTACAGCTTTGGTGTATGCTCCTCCTGTTGGAGGTGTAGGTGTGGCTGAGGGTCCAGTGGTCTATGGAGTAATGGGATATCTCCACGGGAGAAATGGAAGTGGATGCTGGCTGGTACACAGGTGCTCGTCCCTGAGGAACTTCTTGCAATAGTTTCACGAAGCTACTGCTGGAAACCAGTGCTGTCCTTTCAACTAGTGATGAGTCCTCACTCCTGGTCCTGAGGCTAGGGCTTCCCGTGATGCTGCTCCATGTCTTCCTCTGATGCTGCTTTTGGCCTGTGATTGGGGTCTCTCACTGACGCTGCTCTGGGCCTGAAGCTCTGGCCTCCCTTTGACTGGAAGGTGCTTTTAAAGCTTGCAAGGTGGCTTAGGGGGTAAAGATGCTTGCTACATAGTCTGATCCCCAACTTTGATCCCTGAAATTTACATGGAAGAACAGAACTGACTCCTACAAGTTGCCGTCTGATCTCCACATATGCACTGTAGTCCATGTGTGCACAAATGTATATACAAGTGGAATAAAAATGATAACTAAATAAAATAAAATTCAGAGAGAAAGTGAGTATGGGGAGACACACCTGTAATTCTAACATTTGGGAGGCTGGGTTAGAAGGATAAGTACAAGTTCAAGGCCACTCTGATCCACACTGAGATCTGCCAGTCTCTGATTCAGTGGTTAATAGCACTTATTGCTCTTGTGGAGGACCCAGGTTCAGTTTCCAATACCCACATGGCAGCTCACAATGGTCTGTAAATCTAGTTCAAGGAAATGTGATGTTCTTTTCTGATCTCCTTGGGTACCAGGCATGTACACGATACAGAGACATACAGCAGGCAAAACCCCCACACACATATACACACAAAAAAAATATATATATATAAAACTTTATTTTTAAAAATGCCTAAGGCAGTGTGGAGGCATATGCCTATAATCCCAGCTGAGGAATTTGAGGCAAGAGGATTGTCACCAGTGTAAGGTCAGTGTAGGATACATGAGGAAAAGAAATCAAACAAACAAACAAAGATAAAATTTCAATTAAAAAATGAAGAGTATTTTTTTTGTTTTGGAGATAGGATTTCTCTGTGTAACAGTCCTGGCTGTCCTGGAACTCACTTTTCTGGCCTCAAATTCACTGAGATCTACCTACTTCTGCCTCCCAAGTGCTGGGACTAGTGGTGTGTGCCACCACCACTGGCTTCAAGGGACAACGTTTAGAAGTTGGTTCCTTCCTTCTGTTGTGAGGGTCCTGAGGCTGTCAGGTTTTTGGTTTGGCAGTACGTTCCTCCCACCCACTGAGTACCTCATTGGCCCAAAGTGTGCTGTTTGTGCACTTAGAAGTGCACTGACTGACGCACGTTAAAGCAGAGCTGAGACGGCTTTTCCATCACTAAAACCTCGACTCTTATTTAGAACAAAAGCTACTCTGCTTCAAAGATCACATCCACTCAGCACAGGACAGGTGACAGGCTGTCCTTTTCAAGGTGGGTGCCTATATAATCCCTGCTAGCATCTTATATCTTCCACTAAAGCCAGATGAGCTGTCAAATGGGAGCCACATGGCTCCTACAGTCAGGGGGACTCAGAGCAACCATGTTACAGATGATGATCTATGGCTGAGGATTCTTTTCTGTGTCAACAGAAAAATAAGTGATGATCTAGAAAATAATTTGCAAGCCAGGAATGGTGATGTAAGCCTTTAATCCCAACACCTGGGAGGAGAGCAAAGTAGATCTCTGAGTTTCATATTAGCCTGGTCTACAGAACTAGTTTCAGGCCAGCCAGGGCTACACAGAGAACCCATCTCAAAAAAAACAAACACCAGCAACAAAACAACAACAAAAAAGAATATAATTTGTAAATCACTGTCCCTGTCCTAGGAGCTCTGTAGCCACCCTTACTCAAGAGTTCTCTTTGGAGCTTTCTATGGAGGAGGTGCCCAAAGCCACTTTACTGACGGGACCCACACTGCTTATAGCACCGTGCACTAACCATGCCTCGCTTCTCAGCCTGCCTGCTCCTCCTTTCCCCTCCTCTCCCCCCCTCCCTGCAGAGGGAGGTAATCAGGAGAAATGACCCTGGTTAATGACTACTCTCCTCACTTTCAACTCTCTACTGCCATTAACATGCATATTAAGGGGATTCTAACACATTTACAAACCAGAAGTTACTTCTCAAAACATTATTTTTCCTCACGAGACTAAATCAGTGTCAGTATTAATGTGTCATCAGCGACTAGCAGGGACAGGAACCAAGTCATGCACTCTTCTTAAGTGTGAGAATTAGTAAAGCCTTTCTACGGGACTAAATAGCATGAATTGTGTTTAAATACGCCCACGCTGTCTGTGAACTGGCAACTCTGCTTTAGGCCCCTCCACAGGAGAGAAGTGTGCACAGACAAAGATAAACCCTTACACAATTATAAACCCAAAAACTGAGCTCCAGTTCATCAGTAAAATATTACAAAGATGTGCCAATACCACACTAACAAAAGACCCAGACCCGCTGTTCCACAAGCATACTGTAAGGTAACACACAGAATTAGTACCTAGTGACAACAGGAGCACCTTCCCTGGCAGAGAGGGAATGTGGAGAGCTAGGATGGCTGGGCAGAGAACGTTAAAGGAAACTTTCTATTACTTAAGAATTTCAGAGGTTTCTACATGGGGATAGTTTATTTTGTGTCTGAGCCTTAGTGATTTCTGTTATGAGCTTGGAAAGCTCCTCCACCTGTGAGCTGGCTGTGTTGACCATGGCCTGCACTGAGTCACTATTCTCCCAGACCAGGCTCTCGGGAAGCTAGCAGGAATGATCGTCTGTCCAACTCAGTCAGCTCCGTATCACAACAGAGGGTAAAACTAGTCAGGTTACAAATAACCTTACCCTGATTCACAACTTTGTCACTTTCAGAACTTACAAGATAGCAAGACATTCACATGGCAGCCTGAACCTCACTTGTAACCACCCCTTTGAGAAAGAGTGCCAACTCTACCCCATGGGAAAACACCCAGCTACAATGCACTCAGTTAAAAAAAAAACCAACTCAGAACCTGTTGCCAATGTGCTCAAATCAACCAAAAGTTCATTTCACATATTATCTATCTCTATCTTATTTATTTACTTATTTCTCTTTTTTTTTTTTGGAGATAGGGTCTTGCTATGTAGCCCAGACTGGCCTTGAACTCAAGATGCGCCTGCCTCAGTCTTCACTGCCTAGATTAGAGCCTGAGCCAGCATGCTTTACCCTGAAAGCTCACTTTAAAGGTGAGCAGTCTGAGCAGGGTACAGAGGCTCACACATCTATGCAGTCCTGGAATTAAGAGACTGAGGAAAGTCTGATGGAAGGTGTAAGCTCGGGGACAGCAGACCCAGAGTGAGAGACTGTCAGATCTGTTCTCTGTGGGTGACTGTCACCCACACACAGAACGTGTCCTGAAAAATGCAACGGCACACACAGACATGGCTTCTCTGCATAGCAGTAATCTTGCCTTGTGCTTTTCAGTCTGGTAAAGGTAGGAGGTGGGGGGAGAAGTCTTGATTTCGAGAAAACTATAGTGTGGTAAGCCAGGCTAGTTCAAAGAACACACTGATGTGAAAGTTGGGGTTTCTTTCAAGACCTTGGCTTTGAAATTACATCACTTTGCCCAGTTAGGATTTTCTTTCTGCAAAGTACTTGGCTTTCTGGAGGTTAAGTAACACAGGCTAACCCTGGACTAGACAGAAGCACAATTAAGCTAGAAATCAGAAGCCCCAGAGAAGAACAAAGTCAAGAAAGCTAAAGGAAGGTTGGAAGCACCTACCCTTCGGCCTTCTGTTGGGCTTCCAGCTGGGACGCCTGTTTGGAGGCTGGAGTGTCGACTCTGTCAGAAGCACGTTATTCTGCATGCCGTCAGGGGGACCACGCAAGAAATGGGCTAAAATTCCATATAACAGAGGACTATTTCAGGAAGAAGGCAAAATCAAAATCAATTCACTTCCTGTAAGTATAAAAAGCTTAAGACATTAACTTTAAAGGTAAACTGACCCCAAAACGGTCATCTAACTTACTAGATTGCAAAACACACAGGATTACTGTCCTGGCAAATGGTTACTCTCAGTTTAAAACTACCAATTAACTTGAGTGAGAATTTTTTTTCTTCTTGAGATGGGGTTTCTCTGGGTAGCCCTGGCTCTCCTGGAACTCTCTTAGACCAGGCTGGCCTTGAACTCAGAGAGCCTCCTCCCAAGGGCTGGAATTAGAGACGTGTGCCACCACCACCTGGCTCTTGAATGAGAATTTTTAACCCCCCCCCCAAAAAAAAACATATTAACACCATTAAAATAATCTAAACTTAAGGGAAATGACGACCAACCCACTGGAATTCAGCTTGTCAACTCAAAGCCCTGGAAGACTTTAGTTTCCTGAAGCTCATAGATGTTTCTCTCCCTTGAAGGATATAATCAGACCCTGGGTCACACATGTGGTATGTCGTGAATGATTTCACAATGTCAAGTCTCTAGCTATGCACCTTGTACACAGTAAAAGGCATATGAATTCTGGTTACAGGAGAGCTCGGTAGTAATATCTAAAAGGCTGCATTGTAGTTAGTTCCCTTTTACGTATCACTGTACTACAACAAATTTATGAATGAGAAAACCAGGGCTCAGTAATATACTAGAGCCTCTCAGTGGTAATGACATTAACAATCAATGAATTCCTACGTGCTTTTTTTCTTAAACTGTCACCCAGAGTCCTGTTAGCTAGTCCCTTGACCCTGAAGGCTGCTCTGCGGACAGCAGACATTGACTTTTGATACCGATGTCCTGCTCAGTTAGTATAATGGTTCAAAGCATGACACACCTCTTAAAAACAGAGTCTAAACCCCTTATGCTTTACTGAGTCTCACTCATTTTTACCAATGGCAACATGTGGTAAAGGCTATTAATTGCTTTTTTGGATCACTCTCTGTGTGAGGCAGAGCCTGAGGACACTCAAGCAGTCCCACAGACAGGCACAAATGTCAGGGCTGAGGCAGTCTGAAGCAGATCCCAAGGCCTCAGTAAGCCTCTAGAAGCCTGAAAGAAATCTCAAGAAATCTGAAGCTACGTTCACGTGAGCCCAGTTCCCAACACCCTTGACACATGAATTCTGGAGTGCTGTGTGGGACAGAAGCACATGGCTGTGTGTTACAGCAGCTGCTCCAGGCCAGGGACAGCAGTGCAGACTCTCAGTGGGTGCCTTAGGAAACCATCTGCTGTGTGCCGCCATGCTTCCTGCCATGATGACAATGGACTAACCCTCTGAGACTGAAAGTGAGCCCCAGTTAGATGCTTTCCTTTATTAGAGGTGCGGTGGTCACGGTGTCTCTTCACAGCAACAGAACACTGATTAACACAGCTATTCTTAAAGAGACTTTTTACACATTTCAAAAACTGTCTGAATGTATAAAGCATTGCCCACTGTTTTGCTTAATACTCAAATGCAGTGTTTACTGTACCCATGACCAGAAAGGGGGCTACGCCACCTTAAAGATTTTTTTTCACCAAGTAAATCTGGTTACCAAGTTAGATGATTGAGGCTCTTTCTGCAGCAGGGCTTCTTGTGGCGCGTGCTGTTTATGCACAGCAAGAACGACCAAGAGGGAGCGTGGGTCACCGGTCTCTAGTGAGCATCTCATAGAAGGTGCATCCCCAGCCACTCCAGGGACACACAGAGAACAGTGTGCTGCCACATCTGCAGCGTCCCCAGCAGTGTCTCACACACAGCAGCTGTCACACAGGTTTGCACGCAACAGCGAAATGCTGGAAAATACCTCACTGACACAGGGATAAATAATCCACAACGACACAGGACATGAGAACCGTTACAACAATAGGGGAAGACAAGAAAGCAGAGAGACAGCTTTCAACAGACACGTCACGTTCTGTGTAGAAAACAACAAAAAACTGAGACAAAATACAATTGCCCCGGAATAAGAGGAACTCAAGTGTCGGGAAGAGATGTATATACACAATACATCCCCTCCACAGTGGAAGCAAATACACAGCCGTGCTGTAAGTGGTGTCTGAATAATGCAAGGGGGATGCTCACTGGGTACAGAGGGAGACGACATCACACTTACTGTGCCATCTACCTGCTTTGTAGGAAACACCATGAGCCCCAGAGGAGATAACTCCCCACTCAGACCACTGCTCCTCTCAGGAGTCAATACCCAGCAAGTGTAGGCAAGCAGCAGCTCACTACTCTCACACCTGGTGCCTCCAAGCTCTTCCTTTTCAAAGAGCTCTTCCCCTGCAGAGAATCAGTTTTCTCGGTAAGTGAAAGTCACTGCAATGAGCACAAACTGTTCATAGCCAAGAGTCTTGGATGACTTCTGTCTCCCTCCTAACCTGTGGGAGCATCTGAACAGGGCCAAGAAGATGAAAAGTGACCGGACAGAAGCTGAGGGAGCTGAGGAAGCATGTGGAGCAAAGACAGAACCATGCAGCTGCCATGAGCTAGCTGTGTGCAGAGAGGCGGGCAGAGCCCCGGAGCCCGCAGCAATGCCTAGGACTGGGACTTGCTCATGGACACAACACACATTTACCAAGTGTTTTTAAACAACGCAGTAGCTGCCTTCTACAGACAAGAGGGCAGGACAAATGAGTTTGACACAGAGTGACGAGGGAGAAACTAGTCAGGCAATGAGCAGCATGGCACAGGGCAGTGACAACAGACAGAGAACCAAAGCAGGGTCGGCAGTGCTGGTGAGGACAGGCAGAAGAGGCGTTGCCTGGAGACCGCCCGTGGACTCTGCCTTTACAACCTGAGCAGCAGCCAGGCATTGTGGCGCACGCCTTTAATCCCAGCTCGCAGAAGGCAAAGGCACATGCCTCTGTCTCAGTTGGGTTCAAGGCCAGGCTGGTCTACAAAAAGAGTTCCAGGACAGACAAGGCTGTTACACAGAGAAACCCTGTCTGCAAGAAAAACAAAAAACAAAACACCTGAGCAGCCCATGAAGGTGTGAGGGGGCAAAATGAACACCCTTCATTTGAAATGTCAGTGGCACATGGGCCCCCACTTAGCAAAGTAAGTGCATGTGCCCCACACAGACCTCACTACAGACTCAGGAGTGTGGGGCAGGGGTGAGAAAGAAATGAAAGTGGGAAACAGACCCTGCTGGACGCCCATGATTTAAAGGATCCAATGACGAAAGCTAGACTATCCCTGGGGACTCTTATGACAGTGAAGAGTCACAAGAGACAGGCCAGGAAGCAGTGTGGAGAAGAGGCCAGTATCTATTACAACATCCCACATACTTGGTGCTAGACACAACAGCACTGAGGAACAGTTAGTTTAAGTGCATATACGTAAAAGTTTATGGTAATACAAACATAATTGTAGCATAAAACAAATGAAAAAATTCAACAAACTTTTGAAGACATGAGTCTTCACAGAAATTTCCAGCTAGAAAAGGTTACTCAGAGCTAAGCACTCAGGTACTAGGTACAAACTAATAAGCCAGTTAGGGAGTCTATGGAAAATGTAAAAGGCGTGAAACTTAGGGAAAGAACAAAGAAAAAAATGAGGTAGGGGAGGAGGCAGAGCATTTAAGACGCAGACTGCAGATAAGACGGGGTGGTAGGCAGCATGAGGGCGGGGCAGAAGGCAGTAAAAGAGTATAAGGGGCTGGAGAGATGGCTCTGAGGTCAAGAGTGCCAGCTGCTCTCCCAGAGGACCCAGGTTCAATTCCCAGCACCTGCAAGGCAGCTCACAACTGTCTGTAACTCCAGTTCCAGGGGATCTGACACCTTCATGCCAATGCACATAAAATAAAGTGAAATTTAAAAAGAGAGAAAGAATATAAAGCAGCAGGGGGGTGTCAGGAAGCTGATGGGAGGACTTTTATTTTCTTTCATTTTTAGAGGAGAAGAGATCTGAGTTTGTTCCTACCTTGGAGTAAAGAAAGCAATGGGGAAGGGTTAAACATGAAAAAACAACCTAAAGGACAAAGTCTTAGAAAGAAGAAAACAGATATGGAGGCCAAGAAGAGTCGCCCTTAGAAAGAAGTAAGGGGTGCAGGGCGCTGGAGAGAGGGCTCAGCAGTCAGAGCTCTGCTGCTCTTCAGAGAACCCGCTTCAATCCCAGCCCCCACCTGGTGGCCCACACTGCCTGCAGCTCCAGCTCCAAGGCCTTCCAGGAAATCAGGCATGTGTGCGGAGAACATGCATGCAGACCAATACCCGTCCACACAAACACACGGTTAAAGTTTAAAAGAAAGAAGCAGAGGCTGGGCCAAGAAGACTGCTTAGCGCGACAGCGTGTGCTGCACCCTGAGCAGGCGGGGCCCTGGTTCAATTACCACCACCGAAAGAAACAAACGGGGAAAGCCCTTAAGGGAGGGAGGGAGGGGGGGAGGATGGAGAGGCGAAGGAAGGATGGAGAGACGGAGGTGGGCAGGCAGCTGTGCAGGTCCCTGGACACAGCAAGCTCACAGGCAGCATGACCTCAGGTGACTTACTTGCTGCACATGTCTTGGACCTCATGCAGTGTGTAACGTACAGTAAACTTAAGTAAGTCCCTGATGGATTAAAATGAATCACAGTCGGCTCTATGCAATTAGGAACTCAATACAACATCTGCAAACCTCTTTTAAAAACTTCTTACATTGAGTTATCCTTTGAGTCTTCAAAGGCATTTAGTTCACGGATGAGAAACTGTCTGTCCAATGGAACTATGGGTTGACCAGACTCTGGGGAGAAAAAAAAATTCAGGAAAATACTGAGACTATTAATCTAAAAGGCAAATTTAATTTTGATAATAACCATACCTCCTGGGTACACAGTTTCCCAGACTTTGGGAGAATGCTGACAGCACACACCAAGACAAACCTAAGTGCATATGGCTTTATGATGTCAACACACTCCAATACAACTAAATGTAGAACTTAGATACAGCTTAACGCGTACTCACCTCTTACATCCCCAATTTGTGGCTGGTAATAACGGTTTCTGAATCTAAAACTACACTGCTGGGCTTCAGTAAGCTTCCTAAGATGCCTATAGATTAAACACGATAACACTAAATAACTCATTAAAAAATACATCAGCACTCAGGGATAACTATTCTAAAATTAAAATAATTAAATTTTTAGACTGAGTCTTGCTCTAGTACAGACTGGCCTTTCCTCTTCCGCCCCGGCTTCCGAGTGCTGAGCCACTCAAAAGCAGGGGCCGTTATTGCCTAAGGAAAGCATTCACTTCTCAGACAACATGGTGAGTCCACTTTACCTGTTTATCTACCAAAATAAAGTGAATTTCACACAAAACTTCACATAAACGTTTCTGAGGACAAACCACCACAATGCCTATGAGAGCAGTCTGAATGGCAGCCGCAGCATTTCCCTACTCACAGGGGAGCGTCAGCACGACTGACCCTCCAGTGCATATTTTGTTGAGTGGGGGGAGGCCGTGTCAACAGGCATGTCCTGCAGGCTTCCACTTACTTACACGGCACTGTGGTGAACAGAAACTCAGTCTCTCTTCTTTTCTCTGCTCCCACCCTCCACCAGTGCCAGGAATTAGCCTCTGCCTCACAAGTATTCTACCGCTGAGCTACAGCCCAGAGCTCCTGGTTTTTACTGAAGCAGTGCCCTCCCCTCTTAGCCCCTTCAGTTTCAGTATCTGAATTACAGGATCAGTAGCCACACCAATCTGAAACACCAAAACGTAATAGCACTGTCACTACTGCATCCTGGGAACGATACCTAGGTGATGACATTTTCAAAAGATTTTTTCCTTCCAAGTGTTGATGGTATACAGCCAGCTATAACTGAGGCAAATAATACTAGATCTTCAGAGATCCTTCAACATATCAAAATCATACCTTTTATGAGCATGTGTGCTTACTATTACACAGAGAACCTGCAGTAAAAGGTCCTGGCACTGACTTCCCTGACAGCATGAAGCTCACCAAAACTTGTTCATGCTATGACAAGATCCCATGGAATGCTAAGTGTTCAGTCACCTGCGTGCCACAGTAATGAAACTGTACATTCAGGCTACTGCTTTCTAAGAATTAGAAACAGGGTAAAGCAGAGCTTTTCTCCAGAGATGAATAACCACTTACCTGCTATGAGGACAGAGGCTGTGAACTTATATTTGTTGAATTCCAAATACTCCCTAATTAATTCATTAATTAGAAGGTTTTCATGAGACAATGATGGTCGTGGTTCGTGATCATCGTCCAGGGCATTGAAAACTTCAGCACGGATCCTTGCTTTTAAATGTCCTAACACTCCCCTTTTTTCCAAGGTGTCCTTTAAAACTGTTAAATATAAAATATAAACGGTGATGTTATAAACTAAATGTTGAAATTTCAGGTATGTGCTAAAGAATAATGCTTAAGAGGAAAATGACACAAATAAAGAGAACGCTCTCTACAATAAATACAAGTAACTATGTATGCTGAAACTTGTTTTTGGTATGTTAGTTTTTATTTTCTTTTAAATCTAACTTAAGTGGGTAGGTGAGGCTGCAAAGACAGAGGGTGGATATGAAGGGATGGGGAGATGAACTGGATTGGGATGAATGATATGAAATCTACCAAGAATCAAGCTTTTAAAAGTCACCATCCCTCAACAGCAATCTGGAACCTTCCCTCTTCAAACAGTCTTCTGTGGCTTAATGGCAATTCTAGAGAATATAATGCCTAGAACACAGCAAGAGCTCACAAACGTGTAACACCAACGGTGCCTTACACTACTGGTTAAAAACATGTTTTGTTTTGTGTTTTTCGAGACAGGGTTTCTCTGTGTAACAGACCTGGCTGTCCTGGAACTCACTTTGTAGACCAGGCTGGGCTGGAACTCAGAGATCCACCTGCATCCTCCTGAGTGCTGGGATTAAAGCCATCCACCACCACTGCCCAGCAAAAAAGTGTGGTTTAATTATACTTTGCTCTGCCAATGGCAAAAGTATTATTAAGATGACACAATAAAATTCATAAGACAGTTTATCCACTTGGGTACAGACAGCAAAGTTCCTAGGCCTTGGTAAATAACATCATCCTTGGTCATATGATTTACACTCTTAGACTTACCTCTCCTCTCCTTTGTTTTCAAAGCATTCATTCATTCCTTCAACCTTTCTGCAGGTATACTAACTGCAGTTGTCAACTAATTATACTTCGTAACAGACCCACAAAAGGACAGCTTTATCATACTCTTAGGATCACAACTCCTGTTCTCTAGTTCCATCTTTGGAAGTTAAATGTCTACTGGCAAGCTCCTGTCCCAGTTATTCTGAAGTACACACCGTACAGCCTCAAACTTAGCAGAAAAAAGTAATGGAGCTGAAATTGGGAAATATAGCATGTCCTTCACCTCTTGGTGGGCATAGTCCAAGCACATGCTCAGTTGCCTTCTCCTTGGTAATGAACTCTAACTCTCAGAAAGACCTGGGTCATGGAAGAGTGTTTTAAATGGGTAAAAGGCCCGTAAAATGTAAGATTATTGATTAGAAAACAAATTTCTATTACCTTTCTCTTGGGACACAAGGCATTATCAAGAGTCCAAGAATATTAAAAAAAAATATGTAAAGAGGCCCCTGGATCTACAGAGACCACCCCTACCCCTCAGGGCTCACACTTCCAGGGTTATCATTTTACTCTTTGAGGCTTTATGCTTACAACGCTGTTACCATAAGGACTTCTTCAGGAAGCGGTCTTAAATCTGAGAGCTTAATTTCCCACTGAGATATCTTGAAATCCTACGCGAAGTTTACACAGTCTCACACGTGCTAATGCATCCCTCCCAACCCCCAAAAGCACTCCACTGATTCACGGGAAGTCCCTGAGGGGTTGGGGGGCTTCGACACATCTGGTTTTTTAACTGCTCACCGGCACAGTAGTGCTCCCAGCACACATATAGCCGACGATTACTAAATCATAGTCTCCTTGGGTCCTCCCTCTCCAAATTTCCGCTTACCGCACGAATTTAGAGTCTGGGTTCTCTGAAACTCAGAAGCGTGTTTTTGTTGGTTTTTTGTTTTGTTTTGTTTTTGTTTTTTAATTCATCGTGGATGAGGGCGACTAAGACCCTGGCCCGGGGCGGGGCTGTGCCCTATGGGAATTGCCACACCGGGTCTATTTCTACCTCAGTGGCCTTGGGTGACACAGTGCAACTCCCCCCCCACCTCCCGAGGTGCGAGGTGGGCGGAGAGGACGTGGGACAAGGCGTCAGGCGGCCGTTGGAGGAGCAGTGTCTGGCAGAGAGGGAGAGAGGGGAGATCACGCACCGCATCTTAGCTACAATCGCGACTCACGCGCTGCGCGTCCCCAGCACTCGGAGTGAACGGTCACGCGAGGGGCGGAGGGACGGCTCCTCTCGGTTTCTGCCGTCCCGGGGATGCAGCCCCGAGCCCGGCAGCTAGCTGCATCCCGAAAGACCCCGCAGAACCGTCAGGGTGGGCAAAACTCTGCCTCAGGGTTCTCCCGGAGGGCGACTCCAGGCCGGCCCTCCCCGCGCAAGCGCATGCGCAGCGGCCGCTCCCTCCTCCTTCCCCCCCGCTCCCGGGGACCCCGCCGCCTCGGAACGGCCCAAAAAAAGGCCGAGCCGGGGTCCCGCGCGCTCCCCTCCCTCCCGCCCCATCCCTGCCACAGACGCACGGCCCGACGCTTCCCCGCTAGCGAACGTCGCCTCGGCGCACTCACTCACTCACCGGCTTTCAGCTCAGCCACAGTCGCCATGGTCCAACGGCCGCCGGCGTCACGCCCCTGCCGTGCGCACGCGCGGCGGCGCTGCGGCGGGCGGGGGTGTCTCCAGCCAATAGGAGCACGGCTCTCTCCAGGCGCCACCTCGGCTGACTCGGGAGGGAGTCAGCGGTCGGGTGATTGGCGGGCCGTCCCCTGAGGCTCTACCAATCAACGAGCGTGTGAGGCGGGTCCTGATGGGGGAAAGGGGCGGGGCCAGGATGGCCTGGGCGGTCCCAGAGGTGGAGGAACCTGGCCGCTGGCAGCATCTCAGCGTGGCCAAGCGCTGTAGGGGAGGGTGCCGCGTCCCGCACTCAACCCAGCCACAGAGCTCCCCGCTCTGACACCCCGGGCTCTTTCTGAATCGAGCACCGAGAGTTGGTTTCTCTCTCAAGCTCCCGGATGCTGCCGATGGCTGCTGCTAGTCACTAGGAAGCCTTTGCACGCCTCGGGTCAGTGGTGCCCATGTTGCAGAGGAGGAGACTTGAGCTTTCAGTAGGCAACGAGCTGTCGTCAGGGTCACCTGCAGATGGGGGAGCTGATACCCAAGCCCAGACTCCCGTCTCTTCAGAGCCTGCCCTCCACACCAGTGTGAATACTAAGGACCTTTGCAGCCCCCAGGCTATTTGTGGAAATAACTGATGAAGGAATAAGATGTAGCATTACTAGAAGGAAAAAAAAAAAAAGAACAAGAAACAATACTTTCAAAACGGCGTGAGGGAGTAGGACTACAGGTGCCTCTCCGGGGAGGCCAAAGACACTATTAAATAAGAGGCCATCTTAACCTAGGTTCTAAAACTGGACCCTTATAGCTATGGACAGCCCAATAGTAGAAGTCTCTTTATTAGTTGACTCGAGCGAACATATTTTCAAGCAAGTGAAATTAATACGAAGTATAGGCTTTTAATTTAAAAAAAATCACTGTGTAGTCCAGGCTGTCTGGGGCATTCACTCTGTAGCCCAGGCTAGCACTGAACTAACAGTCTTCCCTGAGAGTGCTGGGATTTTACCGGTGAGTGCCACCGTACTGGTACAATTCGTTTTTTGTTATTAAATTTGACTCAGGAAGATACACGTGTGTTCTTCCTAGGGTTGGCTTTGTTCCTTTTTAAAGGGTTTCCCTGAAGGACACGGGGTGGCTTTGAATTAGCATTCCTTTCTTTATTTAGCCTCCCAAGTTCTGGGAGGGCAGTTGTGCATCCTAGGCATAAATGCTCCTGAGATGTTTCTTAAAGTGGGTGGCAGTTTTAAAGGTTTGAGGTCAATGCAGAGGAATGGATCAGTGAGGAACAAGCTTGCTGCACTAGTCCAAAGGGCCGAGTTTAGATCCCAGCACCCATGCAAATGCTGGCTTGGGTTTACCTTAAACTTAGCACTTGGGAGGCAGAGATAGAGGCTCCCTGGGGCACCGTGTCTAACTAGACTAGCCAAATCAACAAGCTCTGAGTTCCAGTGAGAAACTTTGCCACAATATAAAGACACTTACCATCAAAACTCTAGAGGAATCTACTGTCATTTTAGACTAGCCTCATGTAAACCTGTTCTGTAACCTTAGAAAGGTCTCAGTCAGTCAGTCTTTCCTATTTTGTGAAACCATGGAGCCCTAGTCAGCAGCTAAGGAATCCAAAAGGACTAACTACATTCTGCAGGCGAGAACAGCACTACCCAATGAACTGATGAGGGATTTCAGAGGCAACGCAGAATGTGACCGGCTGATTGTAATTGCCATGCATTCATTGACACCCATCACTCTGCTCACCAAAAATAGACACATCTCAAACTTTCCTTTAAAAGCATAATTTTGTTGAATGTGGTAGCATGTCTATAGCGCCCACTGCTCTGTGTGTAATCCTATGCTGTAAGGGAATCAAAGGGATTACTTGAGCCAGGAGCTCAAGAGTCACCCAGGGCAATCATAGTGTTGCTGTTTCCTGTCTCCTGTGGGCATGTCATCACGATCACCGTCGTGAAGCGGGGCGCTGTGGTGATTTAGAGAAGACTGCAGTCATGGCAACAAAATAAACAGTTACACCTTCTCTGGCTACAGTGAATCTCGGAAATGCTAAAATATGTCAAAGGTTAAAAAAAATGACAGAAGGGTGGGACTTTGCAGTGTCACAGCCGCCCTGAGTCACCCATGTTCCTGTGAGTAATCCTAGCAAAGTCATCCTCACTCAGCAAGCTGGAGTCAGTGAAATATTTCTTGCAGACGTCATCTACACTAGACATTTCTTTTACATCTCCTTAGGAAAGTTGCACAGCGGTAACCTGGGATCCCAGCTCTTTAAATATAAGAACTTAAAGACACTGAACACTAACCGGTAGGTGAGAAAATTGACGCCAGCCCCCAGAGGCCGTTTGACCAGAGCAAACAACCTCCCTCACCATTTAACTGCCTTGCTCCTGTTCGCAGTGTGTGTCATAGAGACTTTGAAGGAGCTAACAGAAAAAGGACCTGCTTATGAGGATATTTGCGGTGGCACTATTTGTTCTAGGCAAAAAAAAAAAAAAAAAAAAAAAAACTGTCCAGGATCAGAAATACTCAAGTAAAAGTAACTCTTGAGATGGCTCGGTGTGTGACGGTGCCTGCCACCACGCCCGACAACCTGAGTTTGGACTCTAGATCCCACACCATATGTTGGAAAGAGAGAACACATTCTCCGATCTTGTCCTCTGATCTCCATTTGCACGCTGTGGCATGGGCACACGCCTCACGCTAAGAATAAATGGATGTCAAAGAAGGCCACCAACCCTAAGTGGTATCAAGGACGCTATGTGAGCAGGGCTGCTTTGGAACGCGGTTCTGCAAATGTTTGTTCAGTCACGCATTTGTGTTTCCGATGCTGTGATCCCAGTACTAGCAGTTTATCTGAGACAAGTGAAAACACGTTCACACAAAAGACTGTGAAGACTGTGTGCCGCGAGGGCATGTTAAGTAACAATTGCCCCACTTAGAGACGGCCTAATGTATTACAGCTGCTGAGTCAAATGAATCATCGTATATGTGTCCCACAGGGTATTGATGATGGAAAGGAGCTGAGATTTCGAGACATGCCTGTTAGGGTTAGGACCAGAGGTGGCAAGTCCCCGTGGGATCACGAGGATCGCAGTTCCTGGGTGGGTGATGGACTCCGGATGGATGGGGAAACGGGGCTCTGTAGGCGTGACTCATATTGAAAGCTTTGTTGAGGGGTGGTAAGAAAATAAGGTAAAGAGACAGAGAGAGGACAGAAGAGAAGAGGGAGACAGGAAATGTCTTGTCTGCTCCAGGGAAGCAGCTGGAAAGAGAGAGAGAAAGAGCATCAGCGTGAGGGGGCGGGTGTCTGTCTTTTAAGGGGGTCCTTTGCACCTGCGTGCAGACTATGCAATCATGGAGCCCTGGGCTGGCCAGGGCACTGCCTGAGTGCATTCTGCCGGGTGACAGGGGCAGGCCAGCATAGTGCCTGAATCCTTACATTCCCACCTTTATTTATTATTAAAAAGGTGAGGAGTTAGGCATGGCAGGTTGGGGAATAAGGGCATCAAGTTTTCAAGAAATACAGAAATACTTCTTGCTGACCTGGGGAGCATCTACCATCTACCTGAGGAAGCTGGGGTGCTTCCACGTCCTGGAGTAGTTGTTTCAGGCTGTATGGAACTCTCTGGTGCCTCTTAGACCTGGCAAAATATTGGCAGAGCAGAGGACAAGGTTAAGTTTAAAAAAATAAATTTTTCTTAGGTCCTGGTACTTGAGGGGAGGAGGATCATAAGATGAGGGAGGGTTCCTGAGGGGTCCCAAGATGAGGGAAGGGAGTCCCAGGACCAGGGAAAGACTAAATAATATTTATCTGGAATGAATCTGACCTGTTTGGTTGGGTCCAATTCAACTCCCTGGAACTTAACAAGAATTCTGTGTTAAAAGATACATTTTGGACACATTAGGGATTTTCTTGTTTGTAACCTGTACTCAAATTTGCATTGTAGAAATGGCAGCATACTCGTGTCAGAGATGATTTGGTTGAAAGCACTAATGCTGTTAAAACTGACATATCTTTAGCACAATGAAAAGCACCTTAATTCTGAGCTTGCAGTTATTGTATAGTGGTATAGTTTGGTGTTTTATACTCTGTCAGAGTTGGATTAGTAGCTTATTAAAACTTTATGATTAATGGTAAGAATACTAACAGTAGCATAATGAGAAAGAAATCTGATAACTTGCATTTGTACACCTTAGGTTAGTCTGTTATACCTTAAAACATTTTTAGATTCCTACATCTTAAGCTTTTACATTCTTACAAAAACTTTATACTTTAAAACATCTTTTTAAACAAAGGAATGTGAAACTGTACCAGAGTTCTTGAGAAGGATAACATTTTTTTCTGGATTAATGATTAGAGAATGACAGAGACTTATAACTGGCCACCTGGACAGACATTCCCAGGGTCCTCCACAGTTTTCAAGGGCAGAAAACTGCCTTCTGCTGTTAGCACTGGGAAGGACTGGAAGGTGTAAATATTTTGTTAATTTGAAATAGATCTTTATAAGCTTAAATTTTATCATCAATTTAAAATATATATCAATGAATAGAGGAGAGCAAGAAAAGAGATACCTTAATAGAGGGAGTCAGTATAGGCTTAAAGAGAAATCTGGTACTAGGGAAATGTTCAGAGATCCACAAAGAGGACCCCAACTAAGAATCTAGGCAGTAGTAGAGAGGCCGCCTTTGATGCCCTTCCCCTATAATGAGATTGATGACTATGATTGCCATCCTAGAGCCTTCATCCAGTAGCTGATAGAAGCAGAAGCAGACACTCACAGCTAAACACTGAGCCATACTCCTGGAATTCAGTTGCTGAGAGGGAGGAGGGATGAACAAAGGAGTCAAGACCAGGCTGGAGAAACCTACAGAACCAGTTGACCTGACCTAGTGACAGCACAGGGACCCCAGTCATAAAGTTGGGGAACCACCAATGGACTGAATGAAACCCTCTGAGGGTTAGGAGACTTGGGAAGTCTATGGGACCTCTAACAGTGGAACGAGTATTTATCCCTAGTGCACAAATGGACTTTGGGAACCCATTCCCTATGGAGG